GCCCATGTGTGATAAATCGGTGCGATATCCTACTTTTCTTGCACATTCGAATGCCGTCAATGGATGGCAATCGATGTCCGTCGGTGATTGGCACTAGATTGCGGAACAGAGCCGATGATAAGAAGAATAATAATACTAATATTAATAAGAAGAAGATATTCCATCTACATGATGGTTTTAAAATGGAGCTCAATAATAACCCAGTACATATTGCTCTTCCAGAGATTTATTTCTGTTCACCGGATTAATTCCAAGAAGAAGAAGGTCCACCGCATCTGTCAATTAAACAAGACATCAAAGAATTGCCAGTAAAAAAGTTGAAACCTCATGGTTTTGTGATACGTTTAAAAAAAAGGAACTAACTGTTACCTCTTCCAAGTCAAAAACAATAATGAATTTTATTTTATTTGCCAGAAGTTACAGAGGCCTCACTGGAGAAACGTGCCTTAGCTATGTGGTGAAATAGAATCGCCGTCCGGTCGTATGTTGCTGATGAAGCGCGTTGCAGTTTTTGGTTTGTTGCTATGCTGCTCAGTGTATTTCGATGAATTTGCTGACTATGAACATGATGATTGTGATGGCTCTACGAAGGAGACTAATGCTGCTGCTAGTTGATGTTAATGAAGTGTTTTAATTTGATTGATCCTTGTGTATGAAATTCGAAGGGTTTATGAAACACTGCGTTCTTAACTAAAATACTTCAAGCCTGGTCAATGAACACTATGTTTTTTTCTTCAATATTCAGCTCATGTTCATACTGGCGGTAGAACTTTGACAGCTGTGGTAGAACTCTATGGTAGCCGCCAGACCGAATTTTTTCATAAGATGTGGATATATGGAACTTATAATACCGTGGATACACTTGTATGACAAACTATGAACATGACCATTATTTGTATAATAAATTATGAGCACATCCATGGTCACACTTGTTATTATACAAATAATGCTCATACTCATAGTTTGTCATCCAAGTGTATCCCTTTTGAAAAGTTAAGTCAACGATCCTTACCCTGTTATAACTGTACATCGAAATGAAAACAAAATTAAAAATAAAGAGTTAAGCAAACTTTAAAATCATTGAACTGAAATTTTTTCATTTAATCATTAGCAGATAATCTTATTCTCAATAGTGTCCAGCGTCATTAAACAAAATCAATGTATCCCACAAGCACACCTCTCCTAACATTATGTTCTGTAATGCCTTCGACTTCATGTTATTGCAGTTCTTCGTCTTTGTCGATCGGTACTTCTATAATTATTGCATTTTGCGGCTCTCATATCTATGAAATCTTCAAAATGACTATCACATTCTAATATGAATATTTTTTGTTTTTTTTTAAGTAACCATTTGGGTTAGGAAAATCATGGCGCACTGGAATCCAAATTCTATCTACTGCCGTAAATTATACCACTAGCGCTTGGTACAAGGGGTAATGCAATAATTTATGTTTAATTCATAAGTTTTAATGTGGTTACGATGTTGTTTTCCACGCACTTCATTTTATTCACGCCAAAATAATCAAAAATGGCATACAATTTTTATTTTTGATTGCTTAAAAAAACACAAAAAAATGTGGAAATGTATGGAGAATTATTCGTATCTTGACCTAGTGTGTAAGTATCAAAAATGAAATATCTCATCTAGTTTAATTCAATCTTTTGACGGATATTAAGTGTATCTAAAAATTGAGCGTACAGATGTTTATTAATTTTTGAAAAAACAGCTTTAAATGGCTGCTGAATCATCATAAATTTATCGATTATTGGTACAGTGTTGGACTTATTTGGTTGCGTTTATTAAAAGTAAGAGCTATTTGAAAAAACGCCTTTTTCCTTGAAAAACCTTAATATCTTTAAATAATATAGACTAAAGTTTTTGAAATTTTGCTCATTTTAGTGATAATAAAGATCATTCATATTCCACTAATTTTACTAAAATTCGCCCACTAGGTAAAAAGTTGAAAATCGTGCGTTGTACTAAAATAAATCTTACTTCATAAGATTATTCCGAAGTAAGGCGTGATCAGAGATGTTATGCCTCAGAACATCCCGGCGGCGCCGACTGGTTGGTCCCCGGTCCATGAGTTGATGGGTCGATAGGTATGGGAGCTGCCTCCCTGGAGTTGTTAGCATTGGTACTCAGTACGGAAAACAAGATCAGCGGAAGTCAAATCAAGAAAAAAAAAATACAAAGAATGCTATCTTATTTGATATTTATAATCTTAAAAATCTTAAAAATGCAATTTTGTTGCAATTGAAATTTTTATGTTTGGACGAAAGTTTGAACAGTGTCTTTTTTTTTTTTAAATTTTGTCTCAGACGTCATTTCGATGAGAATTGTGATATGATTTTGATGCCAACATGTCATTAGGGCGATACTGTTTTTGTAAACAATGACTTCAACCGTCGATTTTTCGCAACTTAAAGTTCGCTCTTGCAAACTAGCCATGTCAGAATTAGAAACATTCCTTTTCTTGATGATATAGTTAATTTGAATGTGCGAACTTTTATTCTCATAAATTTTCATAGCACCCTGAAAGTAAAATCAGAAATTAATTCTCTTTCGCTATTTGGTATGGATTTGTTTAAAAATGATAACGTGAAAAATTATGCATGGACTATACATAGAGTAGTTCAAGATAGAGTGATAGTGGACAAACCTGAGCGTTTTCTAAATAAAACTGAGTATTTTTTTTCGGTTTTCTGAGTCATTTGAAACTTAAAAATACTATGACCGATCGATTTTCACTTCAAATAAAAAAAATGACGTTAGAGGTTGAAAATCTACCTATGTTATGTGATCATCATTAGCATAAATTCACACAACATTTGTGTCACCATACAATGGTTGAATAACATCATGTTTCAATAGTTGTTTTTATAGAGTAAATGTATCAGTTTTGGCACAAGTGCTACAGTTCATAAAAAATTATTTCGTTCATAGCCTTTATACTTAGTTAAGGGTTGTATGGTGTTTGGCTACGATTCCTACACATGTTTAACAATTTATATGAACGACTGTATACGCAGGGGTAGTGTTTTACAATCCTGCTTCAAGTTCACATTAACATTGTTTGTTGAACACAGAAAGTAAATTTTGTTTATTTGAATGCATATAGAGACGATTCAGTGACACTTCTAGAAATTTATATATCATGTAAGAGGCTCGAGAGTATTTAAAAACTTGTATATGGAAGGTCCACTCTCCCTTATAAAAATGCATGTGATCAAAATGGGGATCAAGTCTCTCAATTCTAAAAAATGCGTTTTTGGAAATATTTTAGAAAAAAAAGTACGGTTGAAAACTTATTTATGAAGGCTTTAGAATATTTATAAAATTATATAAGATATTTCCCTAAGAGTATGTGCAAAAACCATATAGAATTTTGAGTATTCCGCTGAAATATATTCAAAATTAAAGCAAGGAATAAAATGTGTCCACTAGGGTGCGTCTAGTTTGTATGCCAGATCTCAACCCCCTAACGGCGCCGGTGGTGTAGTGGTAAGCGTGATTACCTCTCACCCCAGCAGGCCTGGGTTCAATCCCAGTCGGCGCCGCCGGGATGTTCTGAGGCATAACATCTCTGATCACGCCTTCCTTCGGATGGGAAGTAAAGCCGTTGGTTCCCGGTTCATGAGTTGATGGGTCGATAGGTAGGGTCCAGGTAGCTGCCTTCCTGGCACGTCAGTAGCATTGGTGCTCAGCACGGAAAACAAGATCGACGGAAAAAACAAACCGAAGGAAAAAAAAATCTCAACCCCTGATACTCAATGCTCTTTCGATCTGTATTGAGATCCCCAACAACTCACAAGCACAAACAAATTCAACGTTTTGCTCCGTTCCAAAAACATGCTTTATAGTTCTCCCGCAAATCTAGATCATAAAAAAATTCGTTCAAATTTGGAACAGTTGTCGTGGAACCTCAATATGAATTAAAAGAGAAGTGGGGAGCAGGGAGTTCACTCCACTCTTCCCTACGTCGTTCAATAATCCCATTCTTTGGGATAACCCTGTTCTTAAAATATCGACATTGCAAATCATGGGGTTCAATTTTTGATGCTTCTTTGCTAACGAAACGCAACTCGAAAAAATTGTGAACCGTCTGGTTTAACCTGACCAATGGATCACGTAATAATGGAACATTGACACAAAGGCATGATGGTGCTGAACGAATGTCTTGGCTCTTCTCTACCGGAATCAAAATCTTTTTGACGAATAATGAAATGAGCAATATAATTGTTGAAACAATAGCCGTGAACGGAATCATCATTGTTAAAAAGCTTGTACCTGAATGAACTAGTATTGTCATATGTATAATAAGATATTTCTATTGTGTAGTAACTAAGAATACAGGTATACCTTGATATAACGTAACCGTCACTTTTGACTTTCATCGTAGATATCTCACAATTAAAAATTCATTCATACAAATCAACATTACCAATAGATGGGGGTTGTATCATCTCTTCGACGTAGATATCTCACAATTAAAAATTCATTCATACAAATCAACATTACCAATAGATGGGGGTTGTATCATCTCTTCGATGGTTTTATTATTGTGCTTGATTGATGGTTTGAATCGCTCATTGATGTCATAAGAAACAGTAACGTTACATTGAGGAAGTCTAGAATTAAAGATACATTAAATTGAAAAACATTCGTTGAATTATGTCAATTAATAAACAAATAGATCATGAATATTCCAAACATTGAATACTACTTTCGGTGTATATTGAGGTTACACTTATCAAAGTGCAATTGAGGGAGGCACTACAAACATGCATCCGACTACAACCCTTTCCGGTGGGAAAGGATGCTGCGAAAATTGCATCGGTGTGCGGTCATCATTTCGTTCCTACTTGCGATGAGGCTACCGTGGCTTGCCTTCACCGATGAGAGACTGATGATGCCGCCGTGTGTTTGGTCGTCTGGCAGGTAGCAAGAAACAGTCCGAGTGAAAAACCGAGGTTCATTCCTTGACCAAGTGTTGCTAGTGAAAAGTGGTAAGTTTTTCTCCGGTGTCTCGGAAGTAGCCTCCGTTCACCGTGGGTAGCCAAAAGAAAAATGGCAGAGACAGTCAGCCAAAATCTGCTCTGATTGTCTAGGACGAGAAAAAACGGATTAAAATCTCATAATTCAAGACTATTGGCAAAGTTTTGCGTTTATTGTGCGAGAAGCGACGGTTTGCTCTGCGGTGCGAGAAAATAGCAACCCCTTTTTTGAGACTTATTTGTCGTTCATTCTTTACTGGGGTGGGACGATGCTGTGTGGTGGAATGGTCGTTGCAAATCTTGGATAGCTCACAAGAAAAACGAAGACAGCAAGAAATTGGAGGGATTTGTTTGAATCTGGGTGCAATCGTGTGTGAAGTAAAACGAATGAAAATAAAGTTGCCACGGTGGAAAAGAATTGTCTGAAGTCTGAAGTGCGGTGAATGGAAGGGTTTCGACCCGGCTCAAGAAACGTGGGAGGTGGGTGGTGGTAGACGTGACCCACTAAGCGGGTTTGTGTTTTCTTGGTTTTGGACATAAAAATAATATGAAGATATAGGGAAAGGTTGTTGAATGTGAAAACAGTAGATTGAGGATAAATGTGTTTTTGGAAAAGCGGTGGCAAAAAAAAACATCTCAGAAAATCACCAGTTTGTACAGAGCCTAGCAGTAAAAACAAGATAAAGTTTCGGAACCAATTTCTTCAAATAGCAGTGAATGTGTATTGAATGTATAATTACTTTCCGCTGATTCTCAATTGAACTCCACAACGGGTGGAAAAGTGAAAAACCATAGCAAAAGTTTTTCTTGCCGCAGTGAAGGGCAAAAAAAAAGGATTCTGGAGCGAAAAGTTTGCAATCATTGCGGCAGACAAGAAATGCATTTTTAATTAACTCTCATTTTGGATTTTTGCTGGTGGTGTTACTAGAACTACACGGAATGGCTGCTGCTGGCCCGCTACGTTGATGATAGTGCGATGATGGTGATTGTGATGATGCATTCAAATGTGTTGGTGCAATAGACAGCCTAGAGTGCAGCGGTTGCAGCTTCCGAACGGGAGAAAGCAGGTATGGTAATGTGAAGCAGGTCGGCTAGCAAGAAATCGATAGTTTTTCCGAATCTTCTCAGAGATTTATGCCCGTTCTTAGCTTGATAAGAGCGGCTTAAATTTAGGAATTTGTAATTAAACATTTCTATTACTGCAGACGCATTTGATGATTCTTTTTCTACTTTTATTCATGATACAACACTTAGAAACTTAATTTCTAAAAACAAATCATTAGTGTTGATCTTACAATTTACATATTTATGGGATGTATTTTATTCCCAATATTAATTCCGATTTTAATTCAAATCACCCATGCAACGTCCAGAACATTCCACTAATTGAATATTTCCACAAATAATTAGAACTTGCCTTACCCCTTGGCTCGTTTTCGTGGACTTCGTGATCGAGCGGTTAGTGGCGTCACCCGTCGTTCAGCCGTATTGTGAGTGCCACGAAGTGAGGGTTCGATTCTCGCTACGAGCCCGTTAGCATCATGGAAATTTCCCTACTGGTGGTCAACTGGGTGTTGTGTGTTGTCCATTTTTTTGTTTATTAATTTTTTTGATAAGGCTCATCCAAATTAACTTTACATAACCGAGGATTCTTGTTCACTATACAATAAATCTTAGAACTATAGTCAAAAGGTACAACAGAATAAACATTTAATCTTCCGCTATCCAATAAGCCTCCTCCATCAGAACGGGAGCCGCTTCCAGTGGTTTCATTGTATGCCAGATTCACCAACGGGAAGCAGAGCGCAATGGACGCAAAACGTAGTCATTACTCACACATTCATCACGAAACGGTTGCTTTCCAAAGTCGACGACGCATCGGTTGAAATAACTGCTGATAAAGAATAATGAGGAGGACCACACAATGGTTGCTGCCATGTAAACAGACGATCGCGGGACACACATTGAGAGTGGTCTGCTTCTGTCGACAGCCGAGTGAACACTATGTGTTGTCCATTGTCTAGTGTTAATAAGTGTCCAGTCTGTACAACCTCTGGTTGAAGACGGTGTCAATAAAGGGCTCCCGAAATTAATATTAGTCCTACAACAGACTTACATTGCAAAATGTCAATTTATAGTGGGGTTGATGGGGTTACATGAGAGATTTAATGATTTTATAAACAAAACTAATAACGTTATATTTAAAGCAACCTCAGCATAAGTAATGTTTGGTTGCTGAGCCTCGGAAAATGTTTCACTGAATCTTTGCAAGCAAATTAAAGTTTTCATTCATGTTTCGGACACTTTATAATTATATATTGAAATATCTATACACATATACGATATGAACATAAAAAATATCAAGCATGTTCCATTAGGCAGCCCGCGGTTTTAAAACCATTCTTTGAATCATAAAATTGCTGAAGAAAATATTAACCCGCGTGCAACATTCTTAAAAAATGAAATGCCCGAAATATGAATCACAGTTTTCACTGTTAAAACTGTGTTGTTTACACTGTATTTTTATCGCTGTCAGTTTTCGAAAGTTGGAAAAAATGGCGTCAACCGAAAAGCAACGTCGTGAATTGACTTTGTGCAAGCACCTGGAAAATCCTCAACAATTCCATCGGATCATCGGAAAACAAGTTGGAATCGTGCAGTCAACGGTGAGCCGTGTGATTAAACGTTTCTACGAAACTATGAGCATCGGAAGGAAGGAGAAATGCGGTCAGAATGGATGTTCTATGAGTGATCAGGATCACAAGCGTGTTGTGAAAGCGTTTAAGCGGAATCCCAATGCTTCGGTCAGGGATGTGGCCAAACAATTGAATCTGTCCAAGTCTTTCGTTCAGAGAGCCAAGGACCGGGAGGGACTGCATACGTAGAAAGTGCAGAAGGCTCCAAATCGTGACGAACGGCAAAATACGGTGGGAAATTCACGGGCCCGGAAACTGTACACCCAGATGCTGACGAAGCCTCATTGTCTCATCATGGACGATGAGACTTACGTCAGGGCGGACTTCCGGCAACTTCCGCCCAGCACAAGTTTGATGTTTCGCAGGAAGTAAGGAAGCAGAAACTTTCAAAGTTTGCCAAGAAATACACGATTTGGCAAGCGATCTTCCAGCGATCTAGTCAGCGTTCGTGGCTGCTGGTACTGTAAACGGGGAGATCTACCTCAAGGAGTGTCTACAGAAGCGTCTGCTTCCTCTGTTGAAGCAACACGAGGGCCCTACGATCTTCTGATCGGATCTAGCTTCGTGCCATTATTCAAATGTTATCCTGGAGTGGTACGAAGCCAACGGGGTCAGTTTCGTACTCAAGGACATGAACCCCCCCCAACGCACCGTAACTAAGGCCTTTTGAAAAATACTGGGCTATTATGAAGCAAGCACTACGGAAGCATCCCAAGGAGGTCAAATCTGAGGAAGACATGAAGAAAAAGTGGTTTCCGTACAGAAAATGCTGCAGCCAGATGTTGTACAGAACCTAATGAGTGGAATTAAGCGTAAGGTGCGAGCGTTCGGTTTTGGTATTGAAGTTGAATGGAATAAAATCTTAATAATGGGTTTTTTTTTTATTGTCTGAAAGCAGGGTGCCTTCCATTCATTTTGACTCAAAAAATGTTTTAAAAAATTATGCAATAATAAGATATTATGAAAAAATTTTGATTGTGTAAACAACAAGAAAAGATTGTAAAGTTTGTATTTGACACATAATACCTGCCAATTTTGCTACATGAGAATCGCGATAAGCGATTTTGTAATTTATCTCACCCACTCTTCGCTCTTCACTCTTCGCGAAGAGGCGATCAGAAAAACGCTCATTGTGACTCTTTCAAAGCTAAATTTGCAGGTTTGATGTGTCAAACACAAACTTAACAATCTTTTCTTATTACTTACACATACAAAATATCATCATATTATCTTATTATTCCATAATTTCATAAAACATTTTTTTAGTCAAAATGAAAGTTTGAAAAGGATCGGTCAACTAGCTAATTTTCTATAGCGTTTTTTCCGTGATGCATTTTGAAGTGGGACAATCTTTTGTTAAATTTCACTTTTTTTAAAATAATTTTAATATTTATTTAAAATATCATCTAAGATAGCTCAATTTAAGGAAACTTCAGCAATGTATCTCAGAAACGATTCTGAATAATGTGTTACGAAAAAGTATACATCCGTTTTCAGCTGCACATACCATAAGTGTCCGAAACATGAATCAGAACGGTACATCTTTTACAGATGTCTCAATAAAGCTACTGCTGCTGTTAGGCAGTGCTAGAATTACTGATATTTGGCAAATCACATTAAATGTTAAATAAAATAAAACAAAAAATTTAAAAATTACAAGCGAAATTTTATTGCTTTATTTAAAAAATCTATTCCACTGTTTTGTCATTTTACTCTTTTTACAATATTAGTACACACCGCTTGAAAATATGACGGTTGGTCCGAGGTCTGGAGCTCCTACTGTCATATAGGTAACAATCGTCTTAGCTTGACGAGATCGGAATGTTTATGAGTGTAAATGAAATAAAGTATGGCAAGTTTATCTGGTTCGAATTGGATGCATCAATCGCCAAATGATAGGTAGTAACCCAAGTAAGCAAAAGTTCTGATAAAAGGCTATTTGTGGCTTAAGCAGCTTGGTGGGTGGTGGTCTATAGAATTCTAAGCAGCCTCATTTTTAAGTCGTTATAAGAACTTGAAAGTTCCGGTATCAGAATTGAAAGCAGTTTCGGGTGGAACTTGAACGGAACTTTTAGAAAATAAATTAAAAAAGGTTTTTGTCCTCTACACCAATTCTATGTTTAGTTCGCACTTTTATGAAAGTTATTTCTAAAGGCAGATATTAATGTGTATTGATTTATCAGCATTAGTAGTAGAATTGGAGCTGTTTGAAGAAATAAACCCAGTCATATGAGATATATTAAAGTGAGCTGTTGTCCCGCCTACTGTTGGAGTTTCAGTGCCAGCTGACTGACTTGAATACGAAACACAACACCTTGATGAATTTTAAATTAGTATTTGCCCGCATGGCATTCCAACACATTTGTGGCGCAGTGCTTATCGTTCGTAGATCGCATGCCCGAATACATGGGTTCAAATCCAGGAAATTAATGTTTAATAATTTTTTTTTAATGTTTGGATAGAATGTTGATGCACTGCATAAATATAAAAATTATGATTTATTTGGCCCACTGATCATTTAATATTTACGTACATTAAATTTTGTTACTAATAAAGACTTGTGCGGATTGCTTCTTGTGCACGGGAAAAAATCCGATCTCCGAAATGAGAAAAATGACTCATGATTTCATGAACACAGCGTATTTTCATGTCATGACAATACACCATGAATAATATTCATGATATCATGAGCAACTTTTGCGTAACGCAGCAAACATTCCCAAAATCATGAATCATCCGAGTTGAAATCAGGAGCTAAATTCATGGGTTTAACTTTTAACCAAAAAATGTAAAAAGAATAAAATAAAGCATCATACTGGATTCGAACCAAGAACCTTGAGATCACTAAACCCATACTTTGACCACTAGACTATCAGTACGTAAAAGGCGTATAAAAGATATCTATGTAGTGCGGTTTATGAACATGGTTTGCCAAGTACGTGTAACGCTTTTAGCGGTCTTGATTCCTCTGCATTATGAAATCATGAATTTCCATCCCGAAATCATGAATCATTGTTACGATTTCCTGGGATGGCAAGTTTTTTCATTTCATGATTTTTTATTCATGAAAATGGAATCGGATTTGTATCCGTGTGGCTTGAAAGTTCTGTCGGAACTTTATTTGAACTTTATGGAACTTGAAAATTCTGTCGGAACTTTATTTGAACTTTATTTGAACTTTATGGAACTTGAAGGTTCGGTCGGAACTTTATTTGGACTTGACGGAACTTGGAAGTGATTTTAATCATTGAATGCGAACTGCCATTGAATTTAATACATTTATAGATAGCGCGTAGGTAATTTTAGTTTTAGAATTTTATAACATATTGAATTGAAGTTTAAATAAGTCTGAATAATAAATCGATATGAAA